TGCCTTTTTCTTTTGCTTGCCTATTATATTTAATGAATTATTATTTGCCTTTTTAGTTTCATCTTAAATTCTGTTTAATGTTAGTTGAATCTGATCTGTTTAATTCCTGTATATCTTGGCAGTTGTACTTTTAAATGTTTTAGCTATTCTATGTTAATTTTCTCTCCAATTTCCATGAGATTGCTACATTGGCAAACTTATTCAATCTGGTACAATTTGCTTAATTTCTTTTATCTGGTACAATCTAGATTTTGATAAAAGTTAATGAAATGTGTATCGCTATCCAGATCGAAGATCTTCGGCGTTCAAGCTCGCGTGGTAATCATGAGCGACCTGATGTTGTCAGTGAACCGTATTAAACGTCTACCCTGCATCGTATTAATCTCGCTCCGTCGAAAATATTAGCAATTTAAACCTGTTGTGCGGTTTATTCCCAATTAACTCTTTTCTCATACTGTTTTTTAGTAAGAAATTAACAATTTATCTTCTTCTTTGTTCACGTCCCAGTAATCTATTAGATTTCTCTTTTATGCTAGAGACAATATGAGTTCCATTCGTTCATGCTGGGTGAAATATGGTGGTTGTAATTATAACTTCACTTTTTGCTTTTGAGCACTACTACACGTACAAATTTTTTTTCTGTAAAACATACATATTACACACATCAAGCGGCCCTTTTTTTTTTTATTTGTAATATTTAAAGAGAAATCCTTGTCATACAGAAACGAAGAAATACAGGGGAGAGACAAGCATGTGGGGCCCACTTTTTTTAATAATATTTAAATCAGGTGGGACCCACATCCATGTGAGTTTTCTGTAGAACCTCTGGCACAAAAATTATGTGCATTCAGCTTAATTGATATTTAAATCACAGAATCGATAATTTTTATAGAAGGATTTCTTCACTACAAGGAGAAAAATTCTTTGCTTTTGTAAACCACCTTTTTTCGTTGTTTAAAAGGGCACCCCAACCCCAACCCCATCCCTCTTTATTGTTTTTGTACCTTCATCCAACCCCTAACTAAATTAATTATTCGCTTTGGACATCGTTTACTTTTTTTTGTATGAAGTCCATGTTTGGTATGCATTATTGGGTAGTAATAGACAGGATCGAACTGTTCGCTTCAGCTTCTTTTTCTTTCTTTAATGTTGTTAAGTGCTTTGTTCTTACCGACCATGTTAGGAAGAGTTATATTTAGTACCGTGTATCAAGCATTGCACTACCAATTGTCTTGTTAGTGCAATGTGTGAAACTACTTAAGTCAAGCCGAATAGAATATCAAATAAGTGCGAGTCAAATAAATACTTGCATTTTCATTTCTTTACGTTGGTAGTTCACCTAATTTCAATAATTGAACGGCAATTACAAATTCAACGACGAGAATGAATATGACAGCTACCTGTATCTGTGGCTACTAAATGTTTATTGTAGGTTGAAAAAAGTGTAACAATTACGTGAAGAAAATGGTGCATGGATTCGTTGGTTCATAAATGTTAATGACCATGGTGAGTGGGTGGGGTCAATTTCAATTCAATCTACGTTTTTTACTCAAAACGTAGATTAAGCAAATCTGACTGCTTAAATTAAGCAAAAATATACATACGGACACGTGTATATATATACAGAGAGAGATAGACAAGCTTACTATCTTGCTCATCCAAGTCAATACTGAATACCCTGTCTCTTGTACAACATGCTAATCTCCTGCTCACGATCATTTTCTTGCCTCCTAAAAAAAAAGCCAATGATTGAGAAAAAGTCTCGGGTTGGTTGTTCAAACGCCCCTCCGAAGAAAGAGTTACTAATCTCAATCTGATGAGTTATACGCTTATGGTTTTATAGGCATTTTTGGTGCACAATTCTTATGCTAAAGTCAATGTGAAAAAAAAAATGTAATTGAACAAAGGGAGTCTAATCCATTCCCCCACCCCACATGAACAAATAAAATACAGAAAAAAGAAATGCAGAAAGCAGAAGATGAATGGGGCAGTGGCATACCTTGTGTAATCAAATGGGTAGCGAATTCTTGAAAACGCTGTGTGTTTTGGTATAAATGTAGATAGACAGAGAGAGATGGGAAAATGAGAGGTTATAAGTCAAAAACAGACGGCAATGGAGCTGCAACCTAAATGAAATCAGCAAGTTACTGAAAAATTTAGAGAGAGAAAAATGCAGATTCTCTTATTTGAGGAAAAGGAACACAACAGAGAACAGAGATAATTGACCTTAATCCAAGAATGATATAAACAAATTTGGAAAAAAGAAAAAGAAAAAGGTAATTGACCTTAATTTATTTAAAACAAGATATGGGGCATGCTTGAGCCCTATTTTTGGGTATCATAAATTTTGTAATATTATATTGATGAAAAATGTGTAGTTAAAAAATAAGAATTTATTTTTTTTAGTTTGCGTGTAATATTATTTTATTAAAAAATGTGTTGTTGAAAAGAAGAGAGATAAAAATGTATTTTAGAAAAAAATGAAAATCATATAAGGACATGATTTATTTATCTTTATTATAGATAGACATAAAAAATTAGGTTAATGTCAATTTACTAAGTTCATGTGGTCTATGTTAATCAAATATTAAGTCAATTTACTAAGTTCATGTGGTCTATGTTAATCAAATATTAAGTTATACCTCCTAAGGTCACATGTCACGAAAAGTAAAAGGTAAGACAATCCACTTTTAATTTCTCATAAGTTTATAAGTCAAAATTTTTTCTTTTTCAAGTTTTGTTGTAACAACTTTAGCCAAAGAAAAAGCACTAAAATATTTCATTAGTGAGTTTTGGGGCTAAAATTGATTTCACGTAAGTTTTACATACGCTGAATGGGTGGGCCTCATACGGGACCCATGGTAATAAAAAATTGTCAAAAAAAATCCACGCCCGCCCGCCCTCATGTACTTACAGCACAACTCATACCAAACATTTTATTTGAACGAAACCTCAATATTTTAATGCCAAATAAGCTTGACCAAAACCTTAATAATCAAATATGCTCTTAACTCAAAATTTAATTTCAAAACTTTTTTAAACTATTAAGTTAAGTAACTTCTTCGCATGTTTATGTTGAATTTTTCATGAAATTTAAATTTTATAAACTTTACATAATTGTCAAGATTTTCGTGTCAAATCACCAAGAAAAAAATTAATACAATTACATATGAATTGGAACCATAATTCTGTAAATAGTTTCCACATGTATTTCACTCATCATGAAATATAATTCTAAAGGAATTTGGTCTCTACACATAAATTGACCCACACTTTATTTGAATGCTAAAAACTCAATTACTTAATAATTTATCAGATCACTTTAATTTTGAGCTTAACTTGAAAATAATTTTTATAAACAATTAATTACATATGTCGACTCACATTACAAATTAAATAATTTACTAACAGTTTAAACAAAATTCAGGTCAAAGGTATATTTAAACACTTTCTCAAAAAGTGCCTTTCTATTAAAATAATTATCATTTTTTTTTTCAAATTCATTTTTCTCAAAATAATTTTTAATAACATATTTTCTTAATAAAATAATTTTATATATGAATTCATAATTTTCTCTACATTTTAATTATATTATCCAAAAAAAAAAAACTTCGAATTCCGCAAGAAAATGGAGCCACACTCATCCCCATGTTATTTTAAAAAAGAATAATGTTATTTAACACCCATTCAAGTTATCACATTTGATATGTTTAATTAAATAAATTATATGACGTTGCATTTAATGTCATGCAATTATCACCAAATTGGTGCTTGATACTAATAATACTGAATATTATTACTCTTTTAAAAAGCACAATAAGAGGTCACTAATTTTTGTCCCAGTTTTACTATTTCGGTTCGTATAATCGGCCAATGGATACTAGTATGTTTGTGAAGTATTAATAAATTATTTAAATTTATAAATAGATAAAATGGGTGATGAACAATTTAAATAGAACTCTCGAATTTCATAAATATATAAATAAAAAAAGAGAGCCAACACATATTTCCAAGATAAGGGTATAAGACATATCTCAAGAACAATTATATGTGTGTGGCCAGACTTAGTTATCCTTTTCCTAGGAACTTGATGGAGCCATAGGGAAATTATTTACTAAGAAAATTTTAGATCTTTGTTTGTCTAATTTCTCCGACTCATATACGTTCGTGGCATGAATTATGTGTATACATTGAGAAGAATGGTGAGAGTGATTATCAATCAACAATATATTACACATGTAGGATGATGGCAAGACAATAATGTTGCTGATTTTATTCCGTAAGTGAATAGAACGTAAATAATTAATACTATGATAAATAGAGTGTCGAGAACCTACGAGAACCAATACCAACTTATTTACTTTAAATATATACTACCTCTAATTTGAAGCACATACAATCCATGTTTGAGATTCATATTTTATTTTGTCTAATTATTTGCGAAAATAAGCAACAAATCTTGAAATTAATCAAATCAAAAGGCACTAGAATCACAAATCAACAATTTTTAACGTAATTTAATCATCAATTACCCGTTGATAATCAATTCTTGTCAAGGTTGAAAATCAATGATATTTCCAATTATAACCAATAGCTCTCTCAATTGTTAATTAATCATATATTTATATAGGAACTTAATTTTTATTAATTAAATTGTGAACATATAAATATGAATTACTGCACAAAGGTCATGTCATATATATATA